ATACCGCAGTCCTTCACAATCATTTCTCTTCCATTGTCCTCTCAGGATTTTGAGCCTGGCATGAGTTTCAAGCCTCTGGGTATGGGACTCAAACTACAGTCCAGTGACATAGCCATTATACCATCTGCTCATCTCTGGTTGCATCTTATAAAAATGACATCCTGCAGTTGTAATGGGCAGTGTTTTCTATTCTTTTTTTTTTTTTCTTAGTAGTATGTAAAATATATTGGTGAATCTTAAAACCTGTGGCTTCAGGGCCAGCAGTGGCATGGTGGTTGAGGGCACTGGACTCCACATGGCCGACTGCAGTTCAAATCCCAGACCTGGTAGCTTTCCCTCTCTTTCTTGCACTGTTCTTCTCTGGTCAAATTAAAATAAATAAATACATAAAGTTAAATAGAATAATTATTTTTAAAAAAAACCTATGACTTCATAAACTTGATATATCATACTGGATATGGTGACAAATTATATGGTGAAGATAAGTAAAATAGATGGAGCAGAGACTGACTAACTGTTCTAGCCCAAGTAGAGGGCTAGTAACATGGACAAGAGAGAGTATATGAAGAAGTATAATATGTGGAAGAGAACAGGTTTGATTTTAGACCTGTTATGATTAAGACAGGTGTGGGCTCCTCATATGAAGTTGCTCTGAGGCTTTTGGATATAATGTTACCCCTTTTTTTTTTAACCCTGAGGGATTGCTATGTGGAAGTGTTTATACTATCTAATCTGTTATTTAATCTTAAACAACACATGCACCAAAAGGTACCAGGTTAAACCACAATTTTGAGTGGTAGAAACTGATGCCCCCAATAAACTAAAGTGCTTACCCCAGGTCAGACAGCTCAGTAAGTGGCAGAGCTGTAGTTGGCTCCAGGTCTGTCTGTTGCAGTCTAAGTTTTGTCACTTACTGAGGTTCAGTTACAGAGGGAGGCTCAGAAGTTATCAGCATAGAAGAGATATGAATGTCATGTGACACATGAGATTAAGAGAGAAAATAGAACATATCAGATAAGATGGCCCAGGAAAAAAATGTTAGAGAAAGGACTTGTCCCAGTCCAGTATCTGACTGCAAGCATCTCACTGTCTGATCCTGTTTCTGTCATACCCTCCAGCATTTCTTCAGCCATATCAAGACCCATTCATTGACTCTAGTGCTTTTTAACTGTCACCATTACACTTATGTACTAATTTCCCTTATTATTCATGGTCATTTATAGTCATCCATCCCTCATCTCTCCTTTCTTATTTGGAAAAATTCCAACTCTGGGTAAACCAAACTACTCATCTATATCCTGCCTGAACCTGAGCAGCTAAACATTGATTGATAAGAAAAATGTACACCTATATTAATTGGCTTTAACTTTCTATTCCAAACCACAGACCTCAAATAGGAACTTAACAATATGTAACAATAATGTACTACATGTTGCTCATAAATATACTTTCTCACTTTTCAAAATAACTGCTTTATTCTCCTGTCTTCAAATCTCTATCCCATTTTGTTACTTTCGGCTGGTAAATTCATCTCATATTTACTGACAAAATATAAACAGTTGGTATTTCATCTTTCCATCAACAGATCTTTCAACACCTTTGCCTTCTGTGACAAAGGAAGACAGACCTTCCCTTCTGTGTTAGCCATGATCTTCCATTGTACTTTGGATCCCATTTCTCGCCTAATTTTTTAAGGACTTTCTAGCTATGGCTATAATATCACCTCCTCTCTTCCTTCATCACTAATAATTCTCCTTTTTATTGTATTACTATTCTTAACTATGGCCTGATTTTTATACTCTCTTCCTTTATAGCAAAACATAAAATTATTTTCTACATTTTCTGTCTTCATTGATCATCATCTATCTCCAGTTAGGTTTGCCTCTTCACCATTCACTGAACAATGCTTGTCAAAAATAGATCTTAGGGACGTTCGTGCAGTTAAATCTCACATTTCAGTCCACTTGAGAGTTTGACAAGTCCACCCGTCAGTTTGACATGTATAAAACTAGGTTATTGATTTTTACCACATGCATAACCTGCTCCTCCTCTGTTTTGCCACTTGAGTAAATACAGCACCAATCACTGAATTGCTCAAAACTATTTTTTGTTTAACTTGGCAAGATATTAAACCTTTGTTGTAGGAGCAGATACATAGAAAATACTGATTACTTTTAAATATGTTTCTAATGAGAAAAGTCTATGAGGAGAGGAAGCATCTTGAATTCCCTTACAGGTATAATGTACACAATTTTTTGTCTTGTGCATTGGCTTTCATCCGTTTTCAGATGAGTACATGGCTTATAAAAATACAATTTTTTCACACTAAAAGTAGTTGTTACCTCAGGCCAGGAGGTGTCATGGTGGTTAAGGCTCTGGGCTTTCACAGGACTGACTACAATTTGAACCCTGAACCTAATGACTCAAAAATCACTCCAGGTGGGTGTACACGTGCCCAAAATCCAAAGAGGAGAATGGAGGAGAAAGGACTGCAGGTGGCCATCCCCCTGGGGGGTGATTTCTTACTTCCCTTTCTCTGTCTTTCTCACATGCCCTATGCCAAAAAAGAAAAAAAGTAGTTGTTACCACCTGTTCAAGGAGATACTTATTTTTAGCTGAGCTTCTTATTTTGTGGGTATACAGTATTTCCAGGAATATTTCAGGTATATGGTGTATGAGCCTGCGTGCATTTGGGATAATCTACAGAATAGATAGAGCAGTTTCTTCCTGATATCCTGATACTTAGAGATTTTTGTGCATTAGAAGATTTAAAGACATAAAAGTGAAATTAAAACATACTTGAATATTTATTTTTTTCTTTGAGACAGAGCAGGTATGGGAGGACGAGGAGGGAATGGTAAAGAAAGAGAATCCCTTCTCCTCTCGGGATTTTGGGCATGCACACATACACACACACCCAGTGTGAGTATTAACTCGCTAGGTCTGGGACTCAAACTCTGGTCAACTACGTGGAAGTCCAGTGACATAACCGTTATGCCATCTGCTGGTCCCAAGACAGGTGTTTTTGACAGGGTCTCTCAGTTGCAATCCTCTGTCACAGCTTCCTTGTTGGCCAGGACCACAGGTGTGAATTGCAGCCTATTCAGGTTGGTACAGAATCCAAACCCAGGTTTCCATGCTGCCCCAGACATAAGTACCAGTGCCCTGCTGTCTGTGTCAGCTGGACCTACCAGATAAGTTCAAAAAAAAGGAAAAAGAAAAGAAAACAGAACTTCCAGAGAAACTGGGACTTTCATTTACTACTTGAGCCTCTCACCAGGAATACCTCAGAGAAAAAACATTTACTCGTGGTTGCTGGTAAAAGCACTTGGAAAGATGAGATTGAGACTCTATCTCATGTTTGTTTGTTTTATCTTAGAAATAAATCTTGTTAAACAATTTGAACTGAATGAAATGAGATTTAGTTTCTCCAAGAAGTGTAAATTCATCCTCAATTCTCTTCTCTATTTAGTTTTCTTAGATTAGTGCTTATAAACAAGGGAGCACCAAAATGTTTGGAAAGTCTAACAGACCAGAGAGCTCTTTGCAAGGAGACTCAGATGATTATCTGCCTGTCATGAATAGCCTTGCATCTGTGATTTCTTTGAGAGTAGGAACTCCTTTCAAATGGGGACTCCTCATAGCATCCTTCTGAGGTGTATGAGATATGGAGGAGCATACATTTCCCCAAGAAAAGTAGTTTGTGGCAGTCCCATCTCTTCATTCTGTAATATTAGAACAGGAAAAGATTGAAAATGGCTATTAAACATTTTAAGTCTTACAGTAAAAATAGTAGCATGGTGGTTGAGGCAGCTACATCTCACATGGCCAACCCATGGTTCAAGTCGTAGACCCAGCAATTAGAAAACATGCCAGGCATGTGAGCAAGCAGGCCCAAAATCCTGAGAGGAGAATGAGAGAGAAAGGACTGTGGCATGGCCACTCGCCCCAAGGGGTGGTATTTTCTCACCGTCCCTCTTTCTCTCTGTCTCTCTGGTGAGGGCAAGTACCCTACAGCCGAAAAAAAAAAAGTCAAGTGAAAGCTTAAGCATTTCTGTGCTGTTTTTGTTTTTATTGTTGAATTTGTTAGTTTAAAAATATTATTCCTGTTAGGTTTCTTATCTCTTTATATATTAAATACAATTTTTAAGAGTATTATTTATTTTTATTTATTATTATTTAAACTCTCTTCAGGGCACATGAGCTCCCCAGGGAGAGAGAGGGAAAGTGAGAAAGCAAGCCACCAGGTCCACGACTTGAACCGCAGTAGGCCATGTGGGAGTCCAGCACCTTAAACACTATGCCATCTCCTGGGCTCTTCAATATTGTTTTCGTTTCTTTGTTTTTAAGAGGTTTCTTTTTTTTTTTTTTTGCTATAGGGTGTGTGCGCTTGCCAGAAAGACAGAGAGAGACCAAGAGACAGAAAGCGAGAAATCACACCCCCCGGGGGGGATGGCAGCCGCACCGCAGTCCCTTCTCCCCATTCTCCTCTCAGGATCTTGGGCACACAAGCACACGTGTCTGGCGTGAGTTTAAGCCACCAGGTCCGTGACTCGAACTGCAGTCGACTACATGGGAGTCCAGCGACATCGCCATTACGCCAATTGCTGGTCCCAATATTGTTTCAATAGCAATTAATTTATTTAGCAAACATTTGTAGAGGACCTACTAATATTGGCATATCTTCTAGGTAGAGAGAGAGAGAAAGAGAGAGAGAGAGAGAGAGGAAGAGATAGAAAATATGCCTATAAAAGTCCTTTTAAAATATGACTATATAAATATCAGATATTATTAGTTTTACTTGTTTAAATGGAGTTAAGGGTTTGTATATTTGGTGTTTGTCAACATTTCTGTCCAAATAGTTGGCTGTTTATATTATAAACCACTTGCGAGGGTAGTCCGTGCCTTTTGGATTGTTTTTTTAAGTCCCCTGAAAACCGTATTGAGATTCTAGTTATTACTGTCGCCCTGTACTAAAAGTAATGTTTCTTTTTTCAAAGGTACGCCAGCCTGTCATATGTATCAACAATCATGTATTTTGTTCGATTTGTATTGATATGTGGCTGAAGAATAATAGCCAGTGTCCAGCCTGCAGAGTCCCCATCACTTCTGAAAATCCTTGCAAAGAGATTATTGGTAAGGGCCTATTTTATATATACATAGGTATAGAATGAAACTGATATAGACAATTTTCAATGAAATGATTTGGCCAACATCATGCTGGGTAGGTCAGTAATTGTATATTTGGAACAACAGAAAGGCTTAAGGTACTACGAGAGATGACAAGAGAAATAACTCTTAGAACTTCATGGAATTTTCATTCTAGTGGAGACTATGCATGTGGACCAAACTATTAATGATTTAAAGCAGCAAGCACTAAGGGTTATTTTATTTTTTTAAAAAACTCAGGTGGTTTAGGCAAGGAAGTTTAGCTAGGAACATTGAAAAAGGCTTCATGAAAGAGGTTGCCTTAAAAAAGCTAGACTTTTAAGTATGGGATAAAATTCCAGCTGGTAAAAATTAGGGGAGAGCATTTCATATAGCGAGAATAGTATGACTAAGGTTGGGAAAATAGCATGTTTTTGGAAATGTTCAATAGTCTAGTTTGGGTTTCACTACTGAAATGAGACTGAAAAGATAAATTGAGGCTTTAGCATAGAGAACCTTGAATGACAGCAACTCCGAGACTTGTTCTATGGGGAGGAAGAAGCGTGAGGTGGGCATGACGGTGGAGCAGAGGAATGATATAATCCAAAACATACCTTAGGAATGTTACTCTGGTGGTAAAATATAGGTTGGACTGTAGGGGAGAGATAGGATGAGAGTAAATCAGATAAGACCTTTATCCAGGTGAAGAAGTCATTGAATAAGATTCAGTGCCACGCTAATATGGGTGAGAAGGAGGATAGAGTTTGAATGAGTAGATCCTTGAGCAGGAAAACATTACATTTACAGTGCCTTTTTGTGTTTGGATTTTATGCTGCTACTTTTTGATGGCAAAAATTAAAATGATTTGTGTTTGTTTTTGCTTTAGAAAATATTGAAAGTAAACCTGTAATTAACCATATATATAAAATTCAGAAAACTTAAAAAGTCTCTGTTAGTCCTAAGTCAGGAAAATGCACTTAAGTAAGATTTTTACAGAGAAAATGGCAAGGAAGGCATATGCTGGAAAACAAAGGAACGTGTGGACTTGGAATTAAGAGATCTGTAGCACAAGAATTGGCTCCATGAGTTTTCTCTTGGGTGAAGTCTGACTGCCATGTTGCATGCTGGAGGGCTAACTTTTTTTTTTTTTTTTGAGAGGTTTTTGCTATAGGGTGCGTGCACTCGCCAGACAGACAGAGACAGAGAAACAGAAAGCGAGAAATCACCCCCCAGAGGGGATGGTCACACCGCAATCCCTTCTCCTCCATTCTCCTCTCGGGATCTTGGGCACGCACGCACATGCGCCCGGCATGAGTTTTAAGCCACCGGGTCTGGGATGCGAACCACGGTCGACTACGTGGGAGTCCAGCGACATAGCCATTATGCTAACTGCTGGTTCCCGACTTTTTTAAGACT